TTCAGAGCAGAAATTAATTAAATAGGAGTACACATAACACTGAGGATTAACAAAGCCATAAGTTAATTCTTTGATGAAGTCTATGACAAATGCTGGGAAAACTGATAAAGAAGTAAAGAAAATACACAAACAGCATCAAGAATAATAGTAAGAGAATATTATTAACACTGTTTTGGCAGTATATTTGAAAATTTAGATGCAATGGACAAAATTCCCCCCAAAAAATAACTTACCAAAACTGACTTAATAGATACAGAAAACTTGAATAATCCTATAATTTTTAGAGAAATTAACCTGGATTGGAAAATATTCCTGGGAAGCAGCATATTCCAGAAATTATTATCATTCCAACCTTACTTTAAAATTTCTAGAGAGTTAAAGAGTGAAATCTTTATGAGAATAGCAAAAATTTTGACACCAAACCCATGTAAGAATAGTATAAGAAAGAGGTGAATCTCATTTATGTAAAAATCATAAAAAGAATATTAGCTAGGAGAAACCAGCAATACAGGAAAAGCAATAATGTATTGTGACTAAGTTGTGTTTATTCCATTAAAAATTTATTCAATATTTGAAAAAAATTAATACATTCATTATACTAATATTAAAGAAAAAAATTAGATTGGCAAAAACCTAGAGATGAAACATCTGATAAAATTCAACATCCATTTCTTTAGAAAAACTCTTTGCATTCTAAAAACATAATAATCTGATAAAATGTCTTAAACAACCACCAAAAAAATTCTCTTAAGAATGGTGAAACATTAAAACCTGTCCTCTTGATCCTGGAACAGATCAAGAATCTTGGCTATTCATACTTCCCTCAAAATCTATACTTAACGTCCTTGCCATTACAACAATGCAAAAAACTCTAAGGGAGAAAACTTGTGAGACACAGAATGCAACTTTATTAATAGATATAAATGCAGTCATGCCAGCTAGGGTTCAGGGTCAGAGTGAGTGGGTAAAACAATCTATGAGAGCCACTAAAATATCACTGGAATAAATTAGAAGTAATGATCCCAGTTAACTCAAGTTTCCATACGTCTCTACTTAACTGAAAATTTTAAAGCATTCCTCAGCAATACATACTATACATCTAGTTGCACTAAGTTAAAATTCAGAAAATAATCCATGGCACTTTTCTGGTGACATATAATTTTGAAATATAAATATGTTTCACAAGAAACTGTTAGTTAACAAATGAAAACAACAGCTACAGTAACCTGAAAAATGTTTTGAAAAATCTTTCTCAGAAATGTTTTCTTCAACTAGAGAAAATTAATATTTTAATGTGTTACTATAATAAATTTAACATAATAAAATCAGTGTCTCACTTCCCTTATTATAAATGTTTGACCAATATTTACAGGTTAATAAAATCTTGTTTTAAAGATAAGGCTCTAACAGGTTAACTGACCAGGTTATAAGTCACAACCAGTAAGTAGCAAAGCTACTCAACTCATTTATTTATTCAGCAAACATTTATTGTTCTAGGCCCTAGATTCTAGGACTAAAACTTAGACCTTCTGACACCTAGTGCTGAGCTCTTTTCATGAAAGTAGAAAAATTCTATTAATACTTTCTATTTAGATATCCTCTAAATAATGTTAAAACAAGCACATAAAGCTATAGTAAGACAGTAATATTATGAGAGAAACATTTAAAAATTACTAAGCACTTAGGTATATTCTTTATCTTTAAAATAACTGTCATTCAGCACATTCAGCATTTTCAAGTAAAAATTTCCTGGAGAGCTATTTCTTAGTTGTAAGCATCAAAATTTGAAGTTTGTACATTTGTTATCACACTGTTAAACAGAAGTGCCTTTTCCATAAAATTCAGTGAATCCCAAGCATTTTCTTCCCTATAAACTAATGCAAAATCTAGTTTTTTTCCCACACATTTCACTCACACTTAGTTTGTTGGTAATTATTTTAGCAATTTACTTTTTACTGAGTTTTGCAAACCTTCACCTTAGTTCTCATAGGAAGAATATTTTTTATAATGTATTCCCATTAGCTTACCTAGATTTAAATTTTATGATTATGATCACAGATACAACTGGTATAAACAGGTTTGGGGACAAACACAAGTGACTCTTGGTAAATCAACAGAAACTAGCTGGGAGAGAAGCTTCTAAAGGAGGTCAATGTACCAGTCAGAGCATGAAGCATACCACAGGCACCAGTCAGTATGTTTGTACCAGAACTTTAGTCATTCTGGAAAACTGTTAAGTGAAAACCCTTTGAGATAATTTCAATGGTATACTGAAAATATTTCATGTTTTTGGCTATTAGGACACTGACAAAGTGAAATGACTGACTACAGAAACTCAGCAACTCTACCAAAATTCAACTGTATGTATTCCCTACAGATGACTGGTAAATAACATTTTTATATATAAAGGATAAAATTACATTTTACCTTTAGTTATACAACAAATAAACCAATTCTTTAATTGTATTAATACATGGGTTAAGTTTAACCTTAGTATTAACTTTAGCATTATCTCATCAGATACATGCCCTTGTTTGCTATAGAGCAATAACTAGTATACAGCTCCATCTAGTGGAGAAATAGACAAACATTAAATAAAAATTAAAATGAATGTCAGTCCACTACTCTGTGATGTTCCTATGAATTCACGAATACGGTTAACATACATTAACTTTTAGTAATGCCTAAGAATTTAATACTACACTAATGCATATCTCTAGTGCCTTCTGAACACAGTACCTAGCAGAAAGATATATATATATTTTAGATAAATAATCCAATGTAGAGTTTTGAAGAAATTATTGGCTTATTCTGTAAACTAACATTTCAATTCAACCTTATAACTTATTTATTGGTTAGGGTGCTTATTTTATCAAATCAAAATATTAAAATTTTTTCTTCCTTTTAGATGCCATGAGAAGCTAAAAATTTGAAACAATGTACTTACTGTGATAAACTTTTCAAATTATTTTTTCAGACTCTCAGCCTGACCTGAGTGGAGGGGTTAAGGACATCTACAGTGGGAAGAAAGGGAATCCACTGGCTAAAACAAGAATCATATCCCACAGGTAACCCAACACTGTTTTCTGCTATTCTTGGTCACTATCAGATACTCACAGATACTGGTTTTATCAAAATTACTATCTTACCTAGATCCCAGAAATAAATGTTTAATTCTATTTACACGAACAAGAAAAAGGAATAAAACTCTTTCCTCCTCAGTGAAGAAAAGGTTTAGAAATTTTTTCCTAAGTTTTATTCAGACATCAGGAAGTTTTACGATAATGAATTACAAAAATGTCTGGCTTTCTCCCCCAACATCAACCTAGAAAAACAAGAAAAGTGAGAGGGAATCGTGGACCTGAGGATCCATCTGAGAACATCGAGAAATTCATGTGTCAGCCATCCTGAAAAAGGGCGGGAGTGAGGAGGACTGTAACAAAAATGTCTTAAAGACTTATATATAACAGAAATTTCTCATCTTTTCTAGACACTGTATGTATATCATATCTTTTATCAGATATTAGTGATGCTGAAAAGAAGACTGAGAGAAAAACTGCATGGCTCTCACCTCCCCCTGTTGGATTAGGACAAGCCTTCTATTCCACCAACACAGAAATCAGAAGCAATGCCCCAAGCTACAAGTGCCATGGGGTAATAACAGGGAAGGGCAAAGTCCTACTGTGCAATGAAATGAGATGAGATCTGCCTAGTCCATTTGGGCTGCTGTAACAAAAATACCAGTGACTGGATGGCTCATAAGCAACAGAAATTTATTTCTAGTAGTTCTAGGGGCTGGAAGTCTGAGATCAGGATCCCAGCATGGTTGAGTTCTGTTGAGAGTCATCTACTGAGTTGTAAAACACCAACTTCTCACTGTATACTCACATGGCAGAGAGCAAGAGGGGAAGTAAACTCTCTCGGGACTCTTATAAGTACACTAATCCCATTTATGAAGGCAGAGCCCTCATAACCTTATAGAATCCTAATTATCTTTAAAATCTCATGCCATCACATTGAGGGGGAAGGGAAGCAACACAAACATTCAGTTCATAACATAACCTAGCCATCATTTACTTTTCTACCTTCTCCCTGTCCAAAATCCAGACTGGTTGAATCATAGCCATGGCAGCTTCTGCTGCTGAATATGCAGGAAAATTGTATTTCCTCACCTTCACATTGGGTTATGTGACTGAGTTGTAGCCAAAGCAGGATAGGCCAAAGTGATACAAGCCAATTTCAGAACTCACCCTACAGGCACTCTCTGAGAATTCCTAACCCTCTCTTCTCCTCCTGCAACAACTATGAAAACCACATTTGAGATGGTGGCATCACAAGACAGAAAGAACCTTGATCTCTGAGACAAACTGTACAGGTGAGAAATAAATGTGTTGTATTCAGTTAAAAACAGGGGTTATCAGTGCAACATCGCCTCTCTTATTTTAATACACAACTTAGAGACTGTGACTCCTCTACCTCCAATTCTGGCCAGAGGAGCTCCCTAGTACAGCAACAACGCATATCAACACTGATTCCACATTCCTGAGACTTCAAAGTTCATCACAGCCCATCTTCCGAAAACACACACATACACGTGCACATGATCAATCTCTCTCTGTCTCTCTCTCTCTCACACACACACTCACACTCACTCTCACACATTTCATGTTTTTAGACCTTGGACATGTCTTTGTTCAGCTCCATTACCATTTCCAAACCCATGGGGAGAGATGACAGACAGTGACTGTACTGGTTGGATGAAATAATTAACTGTACTGAATAAATAAGTTCAAAGAACCAAATATATGAATGACCTATACAATATTAATTGATCACCTCCTTGGAGAAATGCAACATTTGAAATGAATAGTGACCTGCCTCTAGAAGCAGGAAAAGGCAAGAAAAGAGAGCCTTCTTTAGAGACTCTACAAAGGAGCACAGTCTTGACATCATTTTACACTTTTTAAATTTAATTCTCTTCTTCCTTTTTTTTTTTTTTTTCTTGTAGGGTATTTGTTCAGGGAAGGCCACAAGATTTGTGCCCATTGCCACAAAAAACCCAGATTCCTGTTGGGTGTGTTGTAAACAGAGGAGCCATTTCTTCAGACTCCCTGCTCTGAGCACACCCCAACAGATAACATTTTAGTCCAGTGAGAACCAGTTCAGATTTCTAACATCTAGAGCTGTAAGATAATAAATTTGTATTGTTTTAAGCTACTACATTTGTGGTGAGCTGTTATAGCAGCAATAGGAAACTAACACATATATCTGTATTCTAGCTATCCCACCACTTAGTATGTTCAGAGACATTTTCAGCCTCTTACAGAACAAATTTAAAATAAAGAAGGATCACAGTCATGAATCAGCTAGAGGCTGAATTCTTGATGATGAGGAGGCCTTTGACGATCTCCACTCTCTCTGGAAGGGTTCTTTTTCATACCACCTGAAGTAGCCCTAACCAAGCACAGTCCTAAGCTGAAGGGTACAACACTTTTCTAAACAGAGTTCCCTTTAACTCAGTCACTTTCTATAACTATTTCAGGGTTGACTACTGTAGAATCATAAAATGAGTAAATTGGGATACAGGTGCTGCCATTTATAAATCTGTAGTCTTTGACAAATTGCTTATGTTTTCTGCTGTAGGGAATCGAGGAAATAAGGAGGGGGTCACTAAAATTTTAGATTTCACAAACTAGTAAAATTTCCAAGGCAAAAACTGTTGCTAGGATTTTATTTTATAAAATAAGACTTAAAAAACTGAAGCAACTACCTTCTATAATCATAAAGAACATGTTAGTAGAACATACCTTCAAAAAAGACAAGCCTTTAAAATGAATAAATTCAACTTTGTAAAAAAGCCAAGAAGATCTGAGAAGACTGATAGAAGCAATGTAGTTTACAAATCTCCAATATCTCCATAAAAACAGAGAGCAACCAGGATAGCAAGATCAAACACATTAACAAAACATCTACCACAAAACTAGAAACACCAAACAACACCACCACCAACTCTATGACCTGCATGACATCCAGCATCTGTGCAGGAAGGAGAGGGAAACCAGGAGCAAAGTGGTATCTGAGAGCCACAAGAATCCCTATGACGCAGCAGGTGTGGGTCCTCACTGCAGCCTGAGGTGAAGGCCCTGGAGTAGTTAAGAACTTACGAATTCTCAAAACGTCGGACAAAGTTTCTTACACTCTAAGAAGAAACTATAAACACAGTCTAAATTTGGTAGGGAAAACAAGTATGGGCAAAGTAAAGACCAGTACAAGCTGGGAAAGGGAGGGTGGTACAGCCAGATCTTAGAAAGTACCAGCCATTCTTTAGAACCCGCAAAATAACAAAAAACATTTTTTAAAATACTTACTTACTTTTAAATCTTTTGACAACTCATTTGGAAGATATCAAAGGGCTTAAAAATAATTATATTATTTAAAACAAATACACTAGTTACAATCAACTATAATCATTAATCAACTATATCTACTATCAACTAATCAACTATACTATGTTATACTATCAACTAAACAATCAACTAATCAACTATAATCATTAGAAGTCAAAACTGATACACTATTAATATCAAATGATGCTGAATCCTTGATTTGGTAAAATTCACTTATAATAGAAAAAAATTAGAGATACAAATTCTAGGCACTGCCCAAATGACCACACCCTATAAAAAAACAGTCCAGAATACACTAAAACAAAAGAAGGAAAAAAAATCACCTCTTAGATTCACCACCAAAATATAAAACATTCTTAAAATCTTAGTGTTTCCTGTCCATTTTGTTTTACATATTTGTTTTACATATGAATGTTAGTCAATGTCTACATATACTTGATTTTTTTCCACAATATTATAAACATTTTTCTTCAAATCAGAAAGAAACATTTTCTTCAGGTTGTTTAATATTCCATTGGATGGCAGTATCACAATTTTCTATTATGAATAGCACGAAAAGGAACATCTTTGTGGCAAATTTTAAAAACCTCATTACTGTTAAATGTGGCAATGTTAAAGAGTAAATTTTTATGCACTATTAAGCAAATAATATAACCCTTTTTCAAAAAGTAATTCCTAACATTAACATATATTTTTTAAACTATTCTAAAACCCTTAGTCAAGAAAGTAACTTCTTTAATCCTTAAAGCATGTTTACATGTAGACTAAACATGAGTTTTCAAAACCAGTTCGTTGCCATGTGAACAAAATACTTAAAATTAGATTTTAATTCTAAAATGACTAAGAAACAAAAATACAGGCATTTTAAAGATTTGTATGCATATTTTAATTAAACAGATAAGAAAATGAATCACATGTATGAAACAGACTATAGAAATTTAGTTGCTGAAATCCTAAACTAGGTTTTTTCCAGTAAAGAATCACAAAGTGACACAGACAGTGAGTTTTTGTATATGAACTTCTTAAATTATAGTTCACTTACCCAAACGAATTAGAATAACCTTGCCCACTGTGCCAGCTCATGCCTCAGAATAAAATGTTCTACTTTGGAATATCATAAGCTGTATCACACAATATCTACTGCTCCCATGCTGGTAATAAGCTGTTTGACATAAAGTAAGGAAATGGCTTCAATTTACATTAAATTTAAAAGATAAAAAACGTATTAAAGTACTAATTAGTTTCAAGACATGCTGCTTAAAGAAGAGGTCTGTCATATTTCAGAAATACTTAATTAAAAATAATTTATTTAAATGTTTATATTTCTTTTAGGTTATATGCATGACTGAGACATCATGCAAAACAGCTCAACACCTAAATGTAAATAGTACCTGTAAAAAAACTACCAAATACCATCCAAGAAGTAGAGTAAATAAAGGAAAATTTTTTCTAATTATGTGATGAATACTTACATTCTTGTACTTTAACATGAAATTATATGATCTTAGGTCACACTTGAAAAAACATTACCTCCTAAAATCAAAACATTATTTAAATTAAATAAATGGCCAAGTATAAAACATGACACGAAATGCACACTATAGGGGAAGAAAAACTTTTCCTAAATCCTCTTAGGATCCCTGGGTGGGCCTGAATATTAAAATGACAGAGAGAGATTAACAGGAGAAAAGCAGGCAAATTTATTTAATGTAAGTTTTACGTGACATAGGAGTCTTTACAGGATGAAATGAAGACCCAAAGAAAGAGTTAAGCCTGAGCATTTTTATATTAGGTATGATGAAGAGTGGAAAGTATAGAAAAATGTGATAGGACAGAAAGATATGAGCCAAGGGTAATAAACTGGGGGAATGAGCAAGGCCCATTTGTTTGGATTCCTCTTGGTACACCTCCACCTTTGGAGTTAAAGATGTTCCCTTCCTCCAGTTATATGGAGGTCGCCTCTCATGTAAGGGTCTCACAACCTACTTCAGGAGAAAAGGGGGAGGGGAGGTCAGGGAGTCCTTCTTCCACCTGCCATTTCTCAAAATCCTTCAGCTTAAAATATTCACTATGCCAAGGTGCCAGATTTTGGGATAGTGTGTTCTGAACCCCATCAACACAAAATAAAAGTATCCTACAAATTACCTTTTCCCAGCTATATTTTAGGATAATAGAGCACAGTGAAAAAAACATGCAAATACTAGTCAAAAGAAAAGAGGAGTCATTCTCTTAAAAATCAGACAAAGTAAAGCAAGAAATATTACCAAGGCTAAGTACATTAAAGGATTTATTTCACTAAGAAGAATAAACATGTAAACACTTAACAGAGCATCAAAATAAACGAGGTAAAACTGATAGTAAAACTGACAAAGAGAGCAACAGACAAATCCATAATTACAGTTGGAAACTTCATCACACCTCTCCTGATAATCAGAATAAGTACTCAGAAAATCAGCAAGAATACAGAAGACTCAGTATTGTCAACCAACTTGACCTACATGACATGTACATAAAACTCCACGCAACCTGGCTGAATACACACAATCTTTTCATTGCACATGTCACATTTACCAAAAATGACCCTATTCTGATCCATTAAAAAAAAAACACCTACACACATTTATAAGAATTGGAATCATACAAATTATGTTATCTTACCACAAAGAAATAAACTAGAAATCGTAACAATAAAACTCAAAAATTGCCAACACTTCAAAATAACCCATAGTTCAAAAAACTAAGTTAGGGGAAATTTTTTAATATTTTAAACCACATAAAAGTAGAAACACAACATATCAAAATCTGTGGCAAGTAGCTAGATCAGTGTGGAGGGGGAAACTTGCTAGAGTATAACTTCTAGGCTTTCCAGGTTTGAAAATATCTCTATTCTACTCCCATACTTCACTGAGTGTAGACTAGTCATACTGCTGGTCAAGAACTCTAATGCTGATATAGTCAAAAAAAATTTGTCTCTGGAAACCTTCAAGATTTTTTCTTCATTCTTGATGTGAAATTTAACAAACATGTCCCCATAGGCAGGCTTTCTTTTCTGTTTTAATACTGAGCACTCTTAGGAACAGAAACAGAATTCTGAACATCTGGTCTTTAATGAAAGTTGTCTCAGTTTGCATGATAGAATTTGAGGTAATGTTTTGCAGTCATCTTTTTATTTATCTAAGTTGCTTAAAAGAGTTTATAATGAGCATGCATTGTTTTTATAAAAACTATGCCATTAAAAAATAGTAAGAATGTTCCACAGTGTAGTTAAACAAACTATGGTACATACATACTATAAATGCTATGCATACATGTATTGACATAGAAAGATGTATACATTATTAAATGAAAAGGGGTAGTTGTAAAATACTAACACATAATCATTGTTATTTTAAGAGAATAAAAAAGAAAACAAGTCAAAACCATGTGTTTGAATACATATACACATGGTATGATAAATTTGTCCCACTGGTCATCCACTTTAATGAAACCCCCAAAAAATGAACCTTCAAAGTAATCATCTCTTTATGTTGCCAGTTTTGAGATAAAACAAATAACAAGCAATTAAATTATAACCAAAACAATTATGGAATAGTTAAATGGTTAATATTTTACTTTTAAGAGTAAAAATAACATATCCTCAAATATATTTAGATGATAAAAACAGATTGAGGCCATGTTCTCAAAAACTTCAGGATGAACTATTTCTTTATTAAAATTTGTGAAATTATTAAGACTAGTTATTAATTATCCATTGCTGTCTAACTAATTACCCCAAAACTTAGCAGCTTAAAACAATCTATTTGTTACCTCACAGTTTCTGAGGAATTCATTGTTGTTTAGCTAGGTTCTCCAGTTAAGGTCTCTCACAACATTGTAATCAAGGTAGCAATCATGGTTTTACATTCTTTTGTAACCTAATCTCATAAGTGACATTCCACCACTTTCCGCCTATCCCTGTGGAAGTGAGCCTCTAGGTCTAGTCAACCCTCAAGGCGAAAGGATTACACAGGAGTATGAATACCAGGGTTACCTTAGCAGGCTGCCTATCACAAGCAGCATAATGGAAAAAGCACCTGGAATAAAAGTTAGAACTGGTTTCTTGTAACTATGTGTCTAAATACAATTTCTCAAGGCCTCAGGTGTTCTCACTGAAGAAAACTGAGAGGGTACCCTAAATGACCTCTGGGGCCAATTAAATTCTAAATTCTTTGCTTCTCTATTATGTCTTTTGGAAAGGATTAGAAATGTCTAGTCAAATACGTCATTTCACATAGGAGAGTTAGATCCAAGAAAGGTTAACACAGACAGGTAGTAAGCCACACTGATTCTGCTCTTATGTCCAGTGCTCTGTGCACTATTAGGACATTGTTTTTGCAATTAATGCCCTGAAAGAGCCCTCTCCTCTCAAAATTCAATTCTGCTTTTACTGTCTGGCCCTTTACAGAAATTGATGACCCCTGCAACAGAGGATATCCAAATGGCCTATAAGTATAGGAACAGGTATTAAATTTTATTAGTCATTAGGGAAAAACTCCAATGTGATATGACTATTCAAAAGAGAATAACACAGTACTAACAAAAGCAGCTAGAATTAATTACTGTTGGGCATTATCTCTTTTTCTCTCATTAATCCTAAGGCTCTCTCTGTAGATGACATATGAGACGAATGTTAACTATCCTCGGCCTATCCCAGTTCCAGGTATCTGAACATATTAATTAAAAATTATTTGCTAGAAGTAAAGCATAAAAGCAACAGATAATAAATCATAGCAGAGTAATATAGTCACCTTAAACAAAGTAAAAAGGATTAATTATAACCTAAGTGTAGATCTAAAAATTGGAGCTGCAACCAGAAAAGGCAAGGTTTGTCCCCATTGGAATCCAGGAAAATGGAGAGTCCCAGGGGTCAACAATGGGAATGTGATGCAGGCAACGTCCAGGGAAGCAGCTATTCTCGGAAGCTAATGACAACCGGACTGACAGACCGTTACTAATAGAGAAGCATCAGTCAGGGTTTAGTATTTAGTATAAAACATTTGTACTACATAAATACTCTATTTGCTCCTGTAGGAGGTCAGGAATGCAGTGGGGGGTGCACATATCTCACTTGTTAGAGAATCTCCTCCACCAGTATCCCGTACCCTTTGCCAGCCAAAAAATCTGTAATGACTCAACTCTGGTTCAAGAGTGCAGTGAAAATACTGCACATAAGTACAATTATTTTGTGTGGCAATTATAAGCAGGAAGT